AAAAATATATATATATATTAATTTATGTGTCTGAATTATTCCGTCGTTCGTGTATGCGATAGTTAAATACGTATGGCGTATGGGACATACCCATGACAATTATTGGGCAGCATGACGATAACTCGTACATTTGCGCCTTATAATTTTTATGAAGGATTTTCTCAATAATGGCAGTAGGTATAAGAATTGTAGAGTGACGTTTTCATCACAAAAAATTGATTTAAAATAACCTAAAATAATAGTCACTCATTTTTCAATCTGAAAAATATAAATTTGCAAAGTCAAGCGTTTTGGTTAATGTGACAATTACTGGATACCAACTACCTTGAGTGAAATATAAGTCCAATCATAATAGTAAAAATTTGCTGGTAAAGCTTTTACAAGTATGTAACAATTTTTTTATATCTTTATACAGTTCGGAATAATATAAAAATCTGCAATGAAATTCGAAGACTCAGATTGTAAACAGAGGGTGAAAATGTCGCATTGCCGATGGAAGGTTAAGATTGAGAAATTATCTTTAATATCTGAAATTAATTTGAAACGAAGATAGTTTATTATTTTCTATGTTTATTATTTCTCTCATTTACCTGAAGCTTCGATAGACAGAATGAATAATTTTTTTTCTAAGTGCTTCTTATTGTTAATTCTTCTTTTAGTAGACATCTATACGTGAACTTAATGTACATTGTCATTGCTTTTCGCCATTCCCATGAAGGTAGAGCAAGTTATCACGACTAGTCTGGTAGTTACTTATCAAACTTGAATGGACCTACTTGTCGCGGCAAAGGACAGCGGGAATACGAAACAAGGTATAAATCGTGGGGGATTTGCACAGTGATTACTCACGGTTGAACTGCACGGGCACGTTTTTCGCTCCCTGCTTTTTCGGATACAACATGCGCTAACCACGCGCAGCGCGGTTACGACGGCCGCCTTTCTCTTTCTGGCAATATAGAATGTTAATGTTGCTATAGCTCTTCATTATTTCACACGACCCTCCGCCGGCATTTCCGAAAATTTGCGAGGACGCTTAATTTATTCCAGTCGGCCGCATTTACGTGATAGGGAAATATTGTGCGTTTTATCACACGACACCCTCTCGGGACTGTGCCACCAGAAAACACCTTTTCCATGGCTCTCTACCATCCGACGAATTCGACGAAATGGATGTCCCGAGTACTTTGTCGCGCTTTTCGGAAAACGTCTGATTTATCAACGAAAGAGTACTTCACGAAAAGCTTTTCTCAGTCTTCGCAATGTGAATAATAAACGCGTCAGATATTCTGAAATGAGAACTGTCGTAAAAAGATTTCTATTAATTATTTCATAAGTAATATTTCTGAACTTTTTAATTCATTAAATCTATTATATTATCGTGAACTATCGGAAATAAAAATACTCGTTGAAGAAGGTTGAAGTAATATTAATGATAAAAAAACAATTTTACTCTTTTGATAGCTTGATAAAAATCTTAAAGAACAAGGAAAACCGCTCGCGCGGACTTACGGCGATGTGTCATAAAACAGATTATTAATTATAAGGAAGTGGTGTGTAATATGTAATACGACTGAGGCGTAAGGGCGATGAAGAAATCCCTTGTAAAGCGTACGCTTTCCAGGACGAACATCAATAAGATGGGAACCTCCTCTTTATCCTGTAATGCGCTTAGCAGATGTACCGAAAACTCGGCGAGAAACTCGAAGGAGAGGAGGCCGTGTTTCTTCGCGACATTATCCATTCAACTACTTGAGCGTAACTCTCACGCGACGTTCAGATCTCACTCGATTGCACCAATTCTAGAGTATCTAATCGTACAGCGATGTACAGAAAAGATGAAGAGTATAACTTTACTTTACTACATTATAATAATTTAATTTTACTTATTTATTAGACATATTGTCGCTTGAATTAGCCTATCGTGAGGATGTGCAAAAGAGATACAGTTGTATTTTATTGTCACCCATTACGGAATTTGAAGGAGTTCTGTTTTAATCTTATAAGATCTTGATCATATAAAAAAATTCTGTGATAAAAATTTTTTGTGAAATGTGATTTCGTAGGATAAATGCACATATAATTGGATTCTTGTCGAAGTTTCGTTTCGAAATAAAAGAGTGATAATCTTCTAAAGCTTTCAGTGGAGACAAAATCCAGAGTAATAGCATTTCAGAAATATATCTTATATAAAAGAAGAATTTCTTCTTACAGCTCGTTTTACGGTAAAAGATAGAAGGGCGTTGATCCCTAAAGCTTTTAGTCGTGATCGCCAAGAAAAACAGAAGCAGAGGAAACAAACAACAGATTTTGTTGTATTGATTAAACCTAATACACGATAAATATTTACAATAATAATATTTACAATAAAAGCTATTTTATAAAATATATAATTTTTATGATATTTCCAATAAAGAATGCTTTTAATTGAAATAGAACTTAGAAATATTAGTTTCAAAACGTATCTTAGTGAACATCGTGTGATACATGAAAAAATCCTATTGAGAAAATATTAAAAAGAATCAGAAAAGAATAAATAACTTACGGAACATATGCTTTTTTTAGTCATATACAAATGTTTATGTTAAAATTATTAAAAAATTATAACTTGATTCTTACATCTTATTGAAAATAAAAGATGGAATCTGTAAAGTTATTAATATGTATAGTTGCCAAAAATTGAAGCACGATGCACGCAATACAAATAAAGTTATGACACAATTTTTTTATTAAAATAAAGAAAAAGTAATCGCTTTGGTAATAAAAAAAATTATCAAAGAACATGTGATGTGAGGTACAAGAAAATGAAACGAAGGAATGAAGAATACGAGAAACTGCACTTCAGAAAAAGATATAATCATCCTCGAGTTTTTAGCAAGATGCAAAACGACTTGAA